GTCCCGCGGGCGGACGCTGCCACCTGGCGGGCGCGGCGGGGATCGCAGCGCGCCTCCCGTACGGAGCGGGGACCCACGGGCCGGCACACGGGACGGCTGCCGGGGCTCAGAGCCGGCCCTGAACGCCAGGAGGCGTTTGCTGGAGGGTTACTCAGAAGCGCAGATTTCAGGGAGTCCCTTCTGGGGGCATTCCTGAGAGGGAAAAGAGCTAAGCCCTCTTCCGACACAATGCGATGTTGCTGTTGAACCGCAGAATGGTTTGGATTGAAAAATATTAAAGATTGTCTAGTTCCAACCCCCTGCCATGGGCAGGAACACCTGCCACTAGACCAGGTTGTTCACAGAACCCTCCGGCTTGGTCTTGAACACTTCTAAGGCTGGCATAGCCACAACCTTTCTGGGCAACCTTTTCCAGTGTCTCACCACTCTCACAGAAAAGAATTTCTTCCTAATATCTAATCTAAACCTACTGTCTTTCCATTTGAAGCCATACCCCTTGTTCCGTCACTGCATGCCCTTCTCCAGCCCTTCTCCAGCTGCCTTTTAACCTCCGTTCCGGTCCTAGGAGGCTGCCCAGCTACACTCTTTCTCTACATGCAAAGGAAATGCTGTGATGCCACTTTAATAAAAATCGAACAGAAAACCCAATCTGTTCACCTCCTTATCCATCCTTAATCTGCTGGCTCCACCTCCAGCACCTGTACAGAGGGATAGGATCATGGACAGCTGAGGCCAGTGAGTGCCCACAGCCCACCCACCCCAGCCACGTGGAATTCCCAGCCCACACCTAGTGCCCAAAAATGTTATACCTATCCCTGTAATGTCTAGTGTCCACAGCAGGAGCTGAGTTTTTGCTTGGGATCTTCTACACTAAGGAAAAATCGAGATAAACATTTTACACATTTCCTGTTTCCATTCAGAATTAAACAGTGACAGAGAGTAATTGCTACCTGGAACAAATAAAAACTTTGCAATCTATCCAAGTTCTTGGAGGAGGGAAAGTAATACCACACAGCACAACATTTTTACAGCTGGCAGAAAAAATTAAAAAGGTACTTTAAGGTGATAGGTAGAGCAACGTGCTTAGCAAGTGGTTACATTTCTGTTGTCTGGCTTATACCCCCGTACACCAAAATGTCTCTGACAAACAATGCTTCCTAAGAACTGCCTGCAACACATCTCGCCTCATCAAACTCACTAGCACTTGTATTGGTACTTCTCAGAACAAGTATCAAAGCTCAAGGACTGTATATTATGTTAAGTAGTTCAATATTGGATATAAAACAATAGTGCTGGTGCTGAAGAAAAAAATGCAGCTTATTTGAAGAGTTATACCAGCTGAGGGAAGTCATGAGCAATTGAGTCGGGGAGAATTTAATATTTAACTTTCTCATCTGCAGTATTTAATCACTTTATATAAGTCCTTGATCTTTGATATTTGGAGTACCACATAAATTGTCAGGTTTTCTGAAGCATCCTTTTGCATCCAAAGGAGTGTTAGGTAGAAAAGATCATTCAGTAATTCTATGCCTAATTAAATGCTAGAGGAAAACTCCAATAAAATAATGCAACTACACTACACAATACAGCTATTTTCTAATATTTGAACTCCAGGCACTTACATGTGCTTATACAACTACTGACAATCTATTCAAAGTGAATCTGTAGAATGAAGCCACAATATTCAAAATCAGCCTCTTCTGTGTATTTGCTATGAATGCTAAAATGGATAGTGATCTTCAGTGCCCTTGTCTAACTTAAGCCCTGCTAGATTTGTGTTTTCATCAATTTGTTGGCTTAGCATGAGGTATATCTTCATGGCAGATACAGATTTATTTAGAGGAAACAGGCATCTGAATTGTCAAGTATTTTATATACTTTGTTGTTTTCCGAGTGCTATTGAGCTGCCTTTTTTTCTCTCTGTCATTCCTTACATAAACATGCCTTTTTGTTCCTCTCTTCTGCCTAGGTCTGAGATCCAGATAGAACACAAACCTTCACCCTCAGCAGTTACACACGTCTGTGAACCAGAGGGAGTTGAAAACTCACACAAGTATTTGGAAGAGTCAAGTCTTGTTCTACAGGCTGTGCCAGGACATAGACAGAGAGAGGAATGTGTGGCACTGGTGAAAAACTGGGGTTGGTGATGTGAACCAGGTTCTCATTCTGCAATATTACCCAGTCAATGCCAGGAGCAAGAGGCTGTTTTTCCTTCTGTCCTGAAACGAGGAGCTATCTGCCCCTGATGTGGAAGGGGTTATGGATACTATCTTACCTCAGCACTGGAAAAGGAGAGCTACTTCTTATTCAACCTGAAGTCTAAGAGATATATGGTGGAGAGGAGCCTTTCACATCCCAGTTCTCAGACTGGATAGACAGAGTTCCATTCAAGTTCATTAATATTGCTGCTGCTGGGGACTGGCAGAGAGGTTTTCTGGTTGGAATTATAAGGAAAAAATGGTCACAGCATCAATCTGTCCCCAGTTTAAAATCTCTGAACAGGGTACAGGCCAGAGGGCTAAAAAGCATGCTCATCAGTATGAGCAGGACAGCCAGAGCAGGCTGAGGCCAGCTCAGACCATCCTGCTACCTTGGAATAAGTGTCTGATCAATCCTGGTGCAATTGGTTTAGGCATGAAGGAACCCTCCATCCCCTTAAGACTATTCTGACACTTTCTTTCATGTACAATTTTTTTTTTTTTTCTAGTGGTCTTTGACCCAGCAGCTACTTTAAGCTCTTTGTAGATATCTTTGCCACTCATTCAGATGCTCTGCTCAGCAGTGGCATTAGCAGAGGACGTATAGAAGTTACTTCTTATGTTCTGGACCTTCCCAATAAAGAGTTGACCCTGCCCAAGGTAGGAAACTGAGCTGTGTGCACCTTGGGTTGGTGGTACTCTGTGTCCCACATGCCTTTGCAGCACAGTCAGATAACCACATTTCTTTCAGTAGAGAACATTAGGCCATTCCCACAGAAACATGTAAGACAAAGCTGCAGTTCATAGGGATGCTGGGTGGCTGCTCAGAAAGTTGCAGAACCAGAACCAGTCATGTTTCAGATGAAGGAGAAATCCTTAAAGCAAATTGAAGAATCACAAGAAGTCCTTCACTCCCTCCCACCATGTTTCTCAGCGTTTTTACCTAAGGCTTGATTTCTTTCAGCTTAGTCAAACATGGGGTACATACATCTGAACACCTTTTCCAGGGAGATAACAAAATGAGTGCAAACTCATAACTGAGATAATAAGAATGCCTAGCTCAACTATTATGCAGATAAGAAAGCAGGCATCAGTGCAAATTCATTTCATTCTGATAATTAGATCCTGCTGACATTTTCTGTGGGAGTAAGTTGAGGAGAGCCAGTGATTCTAGCTGCTGTTCAGATACCAAGGAGGAATATGAAGTAATTGCAGCTTGCCATAAAGAAAGCTGGCATGGAGCAATGCCTATTTCAGTCATGACTTTATTTTCCAAAAGACTGTGAAGATTAACTTTATAACTGGGAAAAAACACTCTTTTTTTAGGTTAACCTAATGGCTTGGGCGGGGAGGGGGGGGCGCATGTTATTGCACTAGCTGATAAAGCTACTAGGTAGGTCCTAACAAATTTCAGTAAGCCAGAGGGGAATGGGGAGCTCTGGTGGACCAATCTAGTGGTTTTAAGTGGCAAATTAGGGAAGCAGAAAGAGTGATGGGTGGTGTTGGGTATGTTTGCCAGCGGTCCATGTGTTCATGAGATTTCCTCTGCAAACTTTATAGAGACCTGTCTGCAACAGCAGTGTTGCTGCAGCTTTCAATCAGTGCAGCCTGCAGTGATGTCTCTCCAGGGACAGAATGACACTGGGACAATCACTCTCACAGTATTAGTTTTCTGTATGATCAGGATATTGTCTGGTGGTTGCTGCATACAACTGACTGCCAGAACTCCTGGCCCCAAGGCTAGTCCTTCACTCACTAGCTTGGCACACCACTGTGTCAATCTCACCTCTCTGCTTTCTTTCTACAAGGAAAAGTTCTACAAAAAGTGGGAAACCTGTTATTTGTAAGATACTTGGGATCCATATGCAAAAGACTCTTCCCAGAGGCAAGGGTTTTGTTGTTCAAAACCTTAAATATACTGTGCAGGGTGTTTTGGTTTTTTTGTGAAGCCAAGCAAAACTCACACTGTAAACACTACACTATTCCTTGTAATACCTTAGTCAGGTAGTGTAAAACTGGGTCTGTGTTTAACTTTGGAGTAGGACCTTCAGCAGAAGGAATCTGGTGGTAGTCTTTGCAAATCTCTGCAAGGACAATGTAGGCTGGTAAATTAGGAAGTAGCTATATTTTCTTCACATAGTTGCTAACAAATGTATGTCCTGTCCCAGATGCAACAACATTTGTCTTTGCAACTGTATTCCAACAGCAGAATTGTGGCACTATTTTTTTTTTCTTTTCTGTCTATGGGTTAGTTCTGGCAACAAACAAAGGCATTGAGGTGGTGATGCGTAGCTTCACACAAAGAGCTAGGGAACGTGTCAGGAGAGAGGAAGGAAGAAGGCATCGTCAGGGATAGTCTCAGACTTAGAGATGCTACTGGCCAACCTCAAGCTGAGCCATGGATGGGCTGTAAGGCCTCCAGAGTTCAAGAACGGACCCTGGATCTCCCAGAAAGTTCCTGAATTCTCCCAAAATAACTAAACTTCAGCATGAATACTGCTTCAAGGTGCTGGGAAAACTGAGGCAGAAAAACAACTTTGTGCTTTATTCCCCTTTTCATTTCTCTATTTTATTACTTATGCTGATAAATAAAAAACAACTGTGATTTTGAAAACTCAATCCCTTCCTAGTAAGAATAAACCAAAAGTTATCTAGAATAATTTGAAAACAAGTTTAAAATGTGCCAATGTCTTTTTATGTCCCAAGTCCCAGGTACTGAATCTGACATACTTTCCAGCTGTCCTTAATGAAGCACATGCAAACAGAAGAATTTCTTGAAAAATTAACTTAGTATTCTTGCTGTTTAACTCCTTGGAGCCATCACTTCATTACAGTGCTGATCCTTTTCTGTGAGAACACTGACTGTGCTTGAAGAAGATCTTTAGCTGTTTTTATTTGCAATGTCAAATCACTGAAGGGAAAGTTAAATACAGAAAGAAAAATTTCTGTGCACTAAGGCATGTCTGCAGTGGACAACCTCTGCTTTTTTTTCATCTGCTTGTAAATTTCTGAAGGTGGAATGTTACTCTTGGGCCTCTGAAAAACTGTGTTTCACAGATGAAAAAAATTATCTCTAGAAGATTCACCATCACCTACACATTAACCCGTCACCTTGGATTGTAAACTTTACAAACATATTTTCATCTTTTTCATGCTAAGTTTCCTGAATGAAATAAGAGTACATAACATTCATTTGATTTGCAGCTTTTGTAGCTTTTGTAAACAGCTTTGCCACAAAAAATCTGACAACACTAAGGTAACAGGACGTTCTTTTCAAAGTCCCTAGGCTTACAGTCTTTGCTATTATTTACACATATGAGCTCTGAAATACTGCAATTAGTAGGATGAATTTTGGAGGAATGCATCCAGAGGAACAATCAAGGCTGATTGTCTTGAAAGATGCAAAAGCTATTAGTGATCCCATGAAGTATTAGGAATGTTGATCCTGCTTCGCTAAACAGCTTGGCATTTCCAGCTCTTGCTTTTTACTGACAAGGCTATCAGAAACGGCACATTTGTCCCATATAATTGAAAAATAGCTATCTACCTACTCAGAACTTCCTTTCATTTAGGTTTGGTGTGAGATATGCAAAGCATATTTATGCCTGGCATATTGGATTGTTAAATTCAATTTTCTAATGTCTGCCACTAGCTTGGGGGAAAATAACACACAGGTTCTTTCATGTACCCTGGGGACCATCAAGGAAAAACAACAGCCCCAGAAATCATTTGTGCTGCTGTGTTTTCAGGGCGTTGAGGTTAAGAAGTATCTGTGTCCCGAAAAAACCAATTACAAACACACTTTGAGACAGTCAGCTCCTGTAAATGCTTCAAAAGACAGTCACATGAATTTTCAAAGGTAAATTTATGCAGATATTTTACATGCCTGTCCCGTTGTTACCTCAGGTATGAGTCATGGCCACACTGTTCAGCTTTTTGGCTAAGCTTCTGATGTGCTGCAGCAGATCAGTAAATGCAAATATGGGCATCTGCAAAGGATGTTAAAATTGTGAGGCTCTGACTCCCTGTAACCAGGATGGCCCCAAACCCCCACCTCAAGCTGGCACAAGACACTTGAAAGAACAGTTTTATTTCTAGCACTTGTCACTCTATCACATCAGTGGGACTGGTTGCAAATTCAGGAGAGAAAGAAAAGAGGACCGAAGCCCCGTGGCAATAACCACATCTGTGATCCAAGCACCAAGCTGATTCATCAGCTCAAACAGATGCTCAATTTGGGGTTATTTTTTGTAACATGCTCTTGAAGGTAACTGATTTGTTTGTGACAGAGCCCTGTGGCACTGAGCCATAGATGCCAGGCACTGCTCTTCATCATGCCTTCAGAAGGGCTTTTGTACCTCTCCAGGTGGAGATGAGCTTGCTTTCTCCAAGTACAGCATCTTCCTTTAACAATCAGGCAGAGGAGTCAGCATCCATTGTGTTTGAGAGATGGTGATTCACTGCAGGGGAAAGGCAGGAGATGCTGCCAGTTCAGCTAGCAACTGCAGGCTTGTGGCAGGACAGTGGGAGAAAGAGAAAGCTGGGATGCAAAAGGGAAAAACAAAATAAATTTCCTGTATGCAGAGATGAATTCTTCCCCTCTGTCAAAAACTACAGTCACAGTGCAAACCCATCTGAGACTCATTGCCATCCATTCTTCCACACCAGCAGCATGAGGCAGGACATGAAGACCTCAGAGCAGTTTCAGCAGTGTCTGAGGAGGTAGTTTCAATTGTCCCTGTGTTCTATGGGGCCGTGAGGACACACAGCTGCTCTTGCCTTTGGTCCTCACCTTCTTGTCTCTCCCCTCCTGGCCCATGCCTTGGTGGCACTCAGCAGCTACAAAATAGTACTGAAGGGTGACAGAAGTTGGTCACTGTGACAGACCCCTTTAAAATGAGGATATTTAGAAGAAAACAGAAATTCTGTTTCTTTTTGGAAACCTTTTTCCAGCTGCCAGGACATTTCTTTCAATGTACTTGGCAGTGTTTGAGAATGAGAAACTTATGAAATTTATGCTTCCTGCTGGTATAGATGACAGCAAATCTCTATGGAGGAAAACAGCACACAAGTTAGGCTCACTAGTGGGGCCAACTCATCAAGTAGTTGGGTTTTGGGGACATTTTTTTCTGCTGAGCTGTTTTGCTTTAATGGATGCCATGAAATCATGTCAGACATCCCCTGTCACCTTTTCTCCTATTTTACCTCATATCTTGCTGTGTACCCTCACTGCTGCATGCATTCAAAGTCATCCATGTACATGGATCCAAAGAGATCCATAGGAGCTGTGCACCCAGCCCATTGGGCACTCAGGTGGCCTGAAAATCCAATCCAGCTGTGCAACAGCTGCATTGAGCCTTGAGGGATGTGTTTGCAAGGTCAGACCCACAACCTGCCAGTGCAGCCACAAACACAGCTGTCTCACTGGTTCCTACGAGCAAGGCACAGCTGTGCACACACAGGCACTATGATTCTGGGGCAGAAGGTTGTAAGGCCTCTCAAATACAGCCTGAACCAAACCCTTAGCTTTTCCACTTCACCATTTTTTCCCATATTGCATGGGAATCCATTTTCCACTGCACCATTTTTTCCCATATTGCATGGTGCCTGCTGCAGGAAGAGCAATCAAGGTATGAAAATGTAGCTAAGTGGAGTGCAGATCTGATGATCTCCATCATCAGATGCTGAGATACAATTCTATTTTTTTTTTTTTAAATCATGCTTTTAAGGTTCTTTAGAACTCACAGGAGTCTTTTTCTGGTTATTATGCTGATACAAAAATGATATGAAATAGGCTGTTGTTTCACAGTGACGTTAAATAGGATCCTGTCTGTACCCCAGAGAATCCTGAGTGGAGACAGAAAAAAAGCAGCACAAAGGGAAATGTGGCTTTCCAACCTATCACATAAGATATTCAGATGAGAAGGGAGAGGACTGACTGCTTTTTCTTGCTCCCCACACTATGTCTGTAGTTTACACAAGTATAGAATAAATGAAGAAGCTGCTTCTGGAGCCTGGATCACACAACTTGTCAAGAGGGTTGGACACACACATGTCCTTCCACCACTGTCTTCACACCACCACTTGAAAGGGAGTGAGTAAATCCTATTCATCCCAGCTGTCTTTGACTTGACATCTTCAAACTCACATACTGACCTTTTAATTTAGTTGAACTCTCTGATCTTTCAAGGAAGAGGTTCAAGGGCAGGATCTGGTCTACCAAGCTTGGTCAACCCTGTAGTCACACTACCCAATCAAGGCAGCAGCCAAACTGGCTTGCCCCAGGTAACAGTGATAAAAGGGAATTTAGTATAAAAAAAGTGATGATGGTCAGGAGTGCTACCTAGGATGGGATCAAAAGTAATGAAGTGGGGAAAGGGATC